AGCTGGCTCACAAATAAATGAAAATAAAGATTAGCAGGTTCCCTCGAGGTAACCTGATGTGTCTCTCTTATGTGGAAAGTCTCTAGGTAACTCCTGGGCTCACAGACTTACCACAATAACAGCCTGCAAAAGTGACAGACTAAGAAATCCTATTTTAAAAGCTCTCTGCACTGAGGAAAACTCGAATTTTCAAAGTAGTCTATCTCTTAAACTGTTTTTTTTTTTAAAAAAAGTCATAGTTTACCATAAAACTGCTTTTTGGTTAAAAACAAGGCTGGGACTCCACTCCATCCGTAGGAGTAGACCTGAAGTGAAGCGTTGGTCCAGTCTGACAGGTACAAGGACCGTCTCCCACCAAAGCAAAAATGCCGAGGGCACTCACACCTCTAGCTAGCTCTCATAACAGTTTATAACTGAGCCTCGGAAGAGCAAGAGGAAGCTTTAGGAGAAAATGTTCATAAATGTTTGTAAAAATCAAAGCTACCTGCTATGTAAATAAACAGATTAGCTAAAATGAGCGTCTGATGCCGCCGCTGATTCTGGCAGGCACTCTGTGGCTTTCGTTAACCAGGAACATTTACACAGGGCTTTGCACATGACTCAGCTGTGGACACAGAACTCCCGGAGACACATTCATGTCTTAAAAACCCCTGTACCAGAGAAGCTCTGAATAGGCTTAAAACAAGCACAGCCACGTTTTATTGTCTCCACCAAGTTCAGCCAGCCAAACAGCGACACATCCCGGTTCCAATGAGCACCCTGCACCTGCAAGGCTGAGGTATGCTCCAAGACAAATATTTGCCATTTTTTCATCCCAAATCTGCACAAATGAAAGTATGCAGATTGCAGCACCAGACTTCTACAGCTCGGGAGCCAGAACAATCTGTAGTTACACTCCACATCAATGGTGTCTTACCATTTATTGAGTCCTCAACGCTCCCCCAGTACAAGTGCTAGGAACTGTGCTAGAGGTTTGTGTGTATTGACTCTAATCCTCGTCGCAAATTCCATTCTGCAGATGAGGAAACTCAGACCAAGAGGTCAGGGTGACTTGCCCAAGGCTACGAAGCCAGTAAGTGGTGGAGCTGGGCCTCAAACCCAGCCCTGCCTGGCTCCAAAAGCAGCACCTCCCCGCTCCTCCTCCAGCTAGATCACTCACTGCACAGCCAGGGCTCCCCTATCCAAGTGAATTCACGTGCCAACGAACAGCAAGAAAAACATCACCCAAAACCAAAGCACAGAGTTCCCAGCAACAAAATGCAGCCGCCTCCTGAGGATCACAGTTCCAAAGGCTGAGGTTCAAAACGCAAGAGAATCCACAGGCCCTTTAAAGGGCGCTGTTGGCTGTCTCTCAACGGACTTTTTCGAACAAGGGAAATGAAACTTGAGAGTATTTTTGGTCAAATTATCTAAAACCCTTTAGAAAAGGGCTTTTTTTCTTTTCTTCCTTTTAACAGTTCACTTTTACAGTTTACTTCAATAGGCTTCAGACATGCAAGGACAAAAATCACACCAGGAGCATTACGAATCAACTTTTTCTCTGCAGACTTGAAACGAATTTGCTTACCACACGACAAGGTTACTTCCCATGCTCAGAGCAGAAATGAAAACAGCTCTGGGTGTCACGATTCAGATCTGGAGGCCACAGCTGCAGAGGGTAGGTGCTGCCTCCCTCCAGCAGGAGCTGCTGATCTGAAACCTCCCACGGGAAGGGGGTCTGAAGACTGAGCGCTGAAGAAACTAAAGCGAGCCGAGGGAGCCGCTGGCCCTGCCGCCCCTGGTGGCTCGCTGCGATGCAATTGTTTTCCAGCTGCCAGGCTCTGAGTCTGGCAGAGAGCATGCTGTTCTCACAGCCATGTGTGTTGCATGATCAGCTGCCCGGTGGCATGTGGGTGTTTAGGTGAGTGACTGGCTACAAGAGGTTCTGCAATGTTAAAAACCAGGGAAGCACCCTGTCTCAAGACTGTAATCATCTGTTACCATACTAGGCCGACAAAGAAAAGTGACAGGTTTGCAACTTTGAAATGGTTTGGGTTCAGGATTAAGGCAAATAATTTCCGACAGTAAAATTTCAGGCATGACACGAAAAACATAACCTGTAATATAAACCACTTCAAGCGTGTTCATTAGACAATAAAAAATGTGATATTTGCAGTCTCAGCATTCTTCCAAACTTCTAGGGGACACTGCGTAATTTATTAGAATAAATGCTACTCTGCAGGTATGGGGACAGGTTCTATGCAGGATTCCAAGTTGCCTTGGCCTCCCCAAAGTCGCTGTTAATACAATGAATTCCTTAGCCTCTCAATCCCCCAAAACGAAAAAAAAAAAAAAAAGTAAGGTCTCAAAGGATTCTTTAAGTGAAAAACATTGTCAGAACTGTAAGCTCCTGGAGAGCTGGAGACTGTGCCTCTTGAATGTCACTGCCCATCATGACGCTTTCACGAAGCTGGAATGAATGTTTTTTGTTGTTGTTGTTTGTTTGTTTTCTAAATATATTTTATTGATTTTGTACAGAGAGGAAGGGAGAGAGATAGTTAGAAACATCGATGAGAGAGAGTCATCGATCAGCTGCCTCTTGCACACCCCCTACCGGGGATGTGCCCGCAACCAAGGTACACGCCCTTGACCGGAATCGAACCCGGGACCCTTCAGTCCCCAAGCCGACGCTCTATCCATTGAGCCAAACCGGTTTCGGCTGGAATGAATGTTTTTTGATCGAAATGCAGAGCGATTTAAACAAGACTAGCTGATGGCTGTCCCCTGCTTATTGACAGACTGGTGCAATGGTTCATCCCTACTTCTAGATTTTAAAACATGGAGATTAAACTCCCCAACTACAATTAAAATCCTTCCATTACAACAAAACTTAAAAATAGATGCTTCTGATGGCAGTGTGTCACCCAGAATAAAAAAGATACGCAATCATCTTTAATAAAGTTGGAAAAAACCTCCCTCGTGGAGCAGGTGTTCTACTCCGGGATCGATAAAGTTTATGGGAGACCAGGTCAACCTCAACAACACACAAAGGTTCTGGATGGGCATCATAAAACAGACCACGGGCTGCTGCTGGAACCAGAATATAGCGCAAGGATCGTACATTACCAACCGGTCAAATTTAGACAAATTATTCTGACTCCAGCTTTAACTTTGTGAAACTCTCACACACATCCTCTGTACAGGAAGGCAGGGAAATGATACCTTACAAATATAGAACTTACGGTAATAAAGTAACAAAACACAAGGAAGAATTACATATACAATCTGCTTCGTTGCTTATTGCTCAGGAGCAAAGTAATGTCAATCCTTAAGAAAAACAAATCCACCCCCCCTCCCCTACACCTCCCGCCACCCCCACAAGTTCCTTTCACTTTGTCATCATACAGATCGTATCCTGAGGTCCCAGGACCAGCTTCAAGATGACTGTAATCGTGACACGCAAAACCATGTGTCTGTTTCACTAAGAGGACCCACCAGGCTTCCGTGACCTCAGAGAAAGGCAAAGCAGCTCTGAAGCAGGCACTTCCAGACGCACGGAAACTCAGCAGTGAGCTTTTAAACAAAGTCATACCAACCGCAGCATCTATCCCAATGCATGTGCACAGTCCTGACTCCCACAGCCAAGCCTTGCCCGCCGGCTCCAGGGCTCACACGGTGCAGCTCACCGCTCCCAACTCGGCTTTCCCAGGAACATCACCTGCATTCTGCACGCACACACTTACACACGCCGGCCTCGGCAGCTCCTCACCCCCTAAGCATACACATGTTGTCAACAAAGCATGTGTGTGCTTGTGGCCACTTCCAGAACAATACCGGCCTGACCATCTCCAGCGCAGATTAAAAAAAAGAAAGACACCATCTTCCCTTAAATAAATAAATGTCACCTTCTTTCTTTACTATGCCTTGAGGACAGATGGTAAACACGACAACAAAATAAGAAGACATTTCCCCTCCACCATAGGTGTCTAAATAAGTGGGCAAAAGCCATCACTCGGGGGTGGCTGAGGGTCTGCTGGAGATGCACAGAAGGGAAACACGGAATAACGGTGCCTGGGCGTGGGGACAACCCAAGACCGGCTCACAGAGGGACATCCTGCGAACAGGGCTGTGGAAAGCACCCTTCTCCAAAGGCAAAAGCACATTCCTTTGATTGGTACAAGCCATTCCTGACAATGGATCGCGATGACAGTGGCTGCTCAGCAATCAGGAAGTGTGTGTGTGTGTGTGTGCGTGTGTGTGTGTGTGTGTGTGTGTGTGTTGTGGGGGAGGGATGAACTGGATGTGATCAGAGATTGGCCCTCTTCGAAGAGGAGCATATGGGATCCTGAATTGTGAAGGAAGACTTGGAGGGACAGGCAGGGGCATTTATCTTTTCTACAGGAGACATCCTTCCACAAGGAGCATGTTACGTGCCCCTGTAACCGGGGTGTCACCACCTCAGTGTCTCCCACCTAAGAATCCTGAGTGGAGCCTGGCTGGAGGGGAGGAAGAAGGGAGGTGGGGGAAGGTCGGCATTACCCCCTGGGGCGAATGCTGGGAGGCCGTGCACTGGATGCATCTGCTCTCAGGCGGCACAATACTCCCGGGGTTGGAGGTTTGGGCGCAACCGCTGGGCGGGGGGAGGCAGTGGGTGCAAGCCACCAGCTGCAGGCAGGAGAACTGTTGGTGGGAGGACGGATGCAAACCTCCCCTCGGCCCGCGACCCCGTGCAGACTCAGCCCCCTCCGCCTCGGGGCCAGCAGACTCTGCAACACTGGAGCCCGGCCGGGATCCGGGAGCCGAAGCGGGCGCCCCCGGCCCCGCGGACGAGCCCGGCGGCCGGGGCCTGCCGGCCGGATGGGGGCTGCTCCGGCCTAGTGCACGCAGCTGCCTCGGCGAAGGGTTCGCCCGGCGCCCAGAGCCCCGGCCGGCCAGGCGGACGGCTGCGAGGGGCGCAGCCGCCTCTGTGGCGTGTGCAGGGGTGCGGGGTGTGGGACTGGGGGGCCGGGGCCCCTACTCACCGGGGCCGGCCGCCTCCGCCTCCGCCTCCGCCGCCCCGACCGCCGCCTCGGCGGTCCATCCTGCGGCGGGGGCCCTGCAGCCGCGGTGCTCGAGTAACAACCGCCGGCCGGGCCGGCCCCTCCCCCCCGCCCAACGTCCGTCCTCAGGGCCGCTCCGCAAGCCCGGCCTCGGCCGCCGCCGCCGCCGCCGCCGCAGCGCTACGTGGCCGCCGCTCCGACGTCTCGCGACTCCCTTCCGAGCGCGCGAGGGCGAGCGGGGCCGCGGGGCGGGCGGCGCGCGGGGCGGGCGGCAGGGGAGGGGGTGTGCGCGTGTGGATGTGTGTGCGGAGCGGGGCGGGGGGCGGGGAGGGCGGAGGGAGGCAGAGCGGCGGCGGCGGGAGCGCGCGCGCGCCCGCGGCCCCTTCCCTCACCGCCCCCCCCACCCCCCGCCCAACAGGGATCCCGACACCTCCCTCCCTCCCTCCGCCCGGCCCGGCATCCCGGCCGCTGGGCGCGGCGGCGCGCATGCGCAGCCCGGGGGCCGGCCCGAGAGCACCTTTCCCCCTCCCGCGGCATTGTGGGTGCCCCGCCGCCGCCCCGAGAGCCGCCGGCCCCCGCTCCTCCCCCGCCCGCCCACTGCCGAGCGCCCAGGTAAAGGCGCGGACTGCGCGTGCGCGCCGCCCTCCTGGGCTGGGGGCGTGGCCGCCGGGAGGAAGCCGGGGCGTCGGGTGGGAGGGAGCTCCGGGCGGGGGGTGTGGGACGGGCTGCAGGAGCGAGGGGGCCGGTTAGGGTTAGGCCAAGGCAAAGTGAAGAGAGCGGGGAGGGGGCAAAGTTGAAAAGCGGGCCCACATGCGATTTAGAAGTAAAAGAGCCTTTGGCTTATGAAATAAAGTTAAAAAAAGAAAAAGAAAAAAAATCTTGCCTGTGGCCTCCTTGTTAGAGGAAGGGCAGTGGGATAGAGGGTGGGATAGAGGACAGAAATAAAGGAGGCAAACTAATAAGCAGTGCGATCGCTGGCCAGATGAGTGAGGGGGGAAAAAACTAATAAAAAGTGGAGACATTTAGGGATTTCCAGGACGGTGTGAAAACCAGTTCGAGAACTGCGCTGGTTCCGGGGCCAGGAAGAGGGAAGGAGATGTGTGTGGGCTTGAGACATAGAGCCGCTGCAAGAAGGGAGGCCTCCAGTGTAAGCATTACGGCATTATGACTAATTAGCTATTAATCATTAATATAATTAATGCTACTGTTAGCTAACAAGTTAGCATTTATCCAAGTTCGGAGCCAAGAGAGGGTATCCATAATTGAAGGTGCTTGGAGTACAAAGAGGGGAAATGACCTAAGACAACAACTTGAAAGATCTTGACTTTTACTCACCATAATCCAAACTTCCTTGATGTTTTCCTTTTTAAAATACTTTTTATTTTTATTGATTTCAGAGAAGAAGGAAGAGGGAGAGAGAGAGAGAAACATCATCAATGATGAGAGAGAATCATTGATCAGCTGCCTCCTGCACGCCCCCTACTGGGGATCCAGGCTGCAACCCCGGGCATGTGCCCTTGACCGTAATTGAACCTGGGACCCTTCAGTCCTCAGGCCAACCATCTATCCATTGAGCCAAACCGGCTGGGGCTTGATGTTTTTCAATCTTATCCTAATTACATTATTCTCCTATTATTTTAAATACATATATATATATATATATATATATATATATATATATTATTTTGGAGGGAGAAGGATGAGGGAGAGAAAAACACTGATCAGTTGCCTTCCATACGTGCCCCAACCAGGGATAGAACTTGCAACTCAGGCATGCGTCCTGACTGGGAATTGAACCGGCAACCTTTTAGTGCACAAGACAACGCTCAACCAACTAAGCCCTCTGGTGGGGCCTCCTATTATTAAAAGAACACTTAGTAAATTTTCTTGCACTAAGGCTGACCTCTCCACACAGTTTCAATACAGATGCAGCCACTTCTTCCCAAAATAGCATTTCCTACCACCACCTCCAAAAAAAAAAAAAAAATTTATTGTAGGATGTAAAATGACCCGAGTTTGGGATAAGGTTAGGGAAGACGTTGAAACTTTATAAATAAAGGGGTTCCTCAAAGCAGATGCTTGGTTTTACCATTCGGCAACTTTGGGTCATGTTCTTCAGCAGTGGATAAACACCAAAAATGATGTCACATTTCAGCAGGCAGAGAAATCTGTAGGTAGAACAGGGAGAAATAAGCATGAATAGTAAAAGGAAAGACGTAGATCCAAGAAAGAACTTGGCATCTGTGGGGGCTGGTGAGCCCAGAACATCTGACTGAGGTGTCTAGCTCTGCTTCTGGGACACTTGATCCCTTCCCCACCCTCTCCCTGTCAGGGCTATCCTGCTTGCAAGAGACGGGGTGCAGAGTGACAGCTAAAGAAACAAGGTGACCTTCCATTCTCTCTAAAGCTCCACCCACAGGCCAAAGCTCTGAAGGGCTCCCAGTAATGAGAACAGTAATATGCTTACCTTCTGTTTGAGGAGCGCTTTATGGTGTGTTTTTTTTTTTTTTTGTGTGTGTGTGTGTGTGTGTGTTTTTTTTTTTTTTAAGGGAGGTTGGGTTCACTATCTCATCAGATCTTCCAGAAACCCTGTGAGGCAGGCAGGACAGGTATTGTTCCCAATGAAGGAAATGCAAGCCAAGGAATGTTTAATAGCTCAGCCAGAACCACCCAGCCCAGTACACAATGGAGCCAGAACAAGACCCAGGCTCATCACTTTCAGCGGGTGGTCCTTTCGGAGGGCTTGACAGGCCCGCTCTGAATAACGGGTACGTATTCCCGCGGAGTAGAAACAGGCAGCCTTGGCGTCTGATGGAGAGTAATCCTAATATTCCCTTCTACATCCACATCTCCCTTATTCCATGTCCCCTCCCCCCCTCGCCCTTATTTCTCTCTCTAGGACCCTGGGACTTGCCTCCTTGTATCTGAAACCTTGGTGATTGGTGCTTTGGAAGGCCTTGGGCCTCAGGGCTAGCAAGGAGATTCTATTTCCTCTCTTAAGGAGATTCTATTTGCTCTCTCTGAACTCCTCTCCTTCACGCACCTCCCAGCAGAGGGGGGCTGCCAGCCAGTGTCACCACTTGACGTGTCGCAAGAAGAGGGCATTGGCCCTTAGGCTACTAATTGCAGTGTCTCCTTCCTTCAGCTGCTGGCACTTAGCAGTGCGACAGACCACATTTAGCATCCACTCCTGGCATTGTGGGGAGATCAAACTTCTACCCCCATGGGTAGAATTCTTCACTGACATTCGCATTAAGGCAGTGGTCAGAAACCAGCAGAACCCCTTATTTTTTTAATTAAAAAGTTTTTAGGAAAAAGTTCCGTATTTTGACAGTTCTGAAAACCTTCAAAGATTTCATGTAAAGCACAACAGAGTTGCCTGGCCAGTGTGGCTCAGTGGTTGAGCGTTGACCTACGAACCAGGAGGTCACAGTTGGATTCCCGGTCAGGGCACAGGGTTTTGGGCTCGATCCACAGTGTGGGGCGACCAGGAGACAGCCGATCAATAATTCTGTCTCATCATTGATGTTTCTATATCTCTCTCCCTTTCTCCCTTCCTCTTTGAAATCAATAAACATATATTTAAAAAATAAAATAAAGAGCAACAGAGCTATCTGGTTTCTGTAACATGAACTGGATGGCTTGGTACAAGTCCCCTGTTCACTGTATGTCTTTGCTCCCCAAGTTTCCAGGGACGGCCCTCCCGTCAGTTATAGTTCTCGCACCTGTACTTACAGAGGGGCCAAGTGGATCCCGCCCACGCATTGACTGACAGAGCCCTGTCCCCGAACCAGACTTGGAGCCAGACCAGGGCCCTGGTCTCTCCATACTTGAGTGCTGCGACCTTTGCTCAAACACTTTACTTTTAAGCTTTGTGAAAAGAGGGGATTGTATGGTTCTTAAAAAATAATAATAATATATATATATATATATATATATATATATATATATATATATATAATTGATTTTTTACAGAGAGGAAGGGAGAGGGTTAGAGAGCTAGAAACATAGATGAGAGAGAAACATTGACACTGCCTCTTGCACAACCCCTACTGTGGATGTGCCCACAACCAATGAACATGCCCTTGACTGGAATCGAACCTAGGACCTTTCTGTCCACAGACCGACGCTCTATCCACTGAGCCAAACCGGTTTCGGCAAGGGATTGTATGGTTCTTAGAGTCCTCCAGATTGGAAACCTAGGGTTTGACCCTAGAAAGCTGACCGTGTTCATTAATACCCTGTAACCCCATTCCTTTCCTAAGAATTACTGCTCAGTTCTCATCTCTCAGCCTTTCTTGCAGGGAACTGCTCCTTTTACACATGGTTAAAGCTGTCCCGGACTCCCCCTTCCTATTCACCTTTTCTCAGAGCTCTCAGGGACAGTGTTTAGAGACAGCTCAGCAAGCTGGGCTCTGGGCTTTTCTATCATGGGTTTGGGATCATACGTGCACGCATGTAAATGAGAGGTGATGGGCCCGGGCCTCTGTGTTGTTCCCACTATTTGTGTCGAACAGATGAGGTCTGGATTTGAAGGGTCACATGACCAGAACTATGAAACCTGGGTCTTCGGGTTGCAGGTTCCCCACCTGGGCTCAGCGTTAGGGTTAGGGTTAGGGCTACCATTTGATGTGTCCCTTTTACCTCCCCTCACTCTGTGCCCCTCAGCCCCCACTTGAATTCTAGTGAAGAGTTAAAATAAATGCCAGAATGCCCTGGAAGAAAGAGGAGGCACTGAAAGGCCGCTGTGTGACCCAGCCGTTCCGCCTTGGGGACAGATTTGAGCGAGGCTATTGGGACAGCCAGTGTCACTTGGACCTCGAGCTTGTTTCAGCTGCAACGTGCCTGGCCTGGGCTGTCATGTGGTTCACAGCTACGGTTTCTTTATATCAGCTTCTCCGCTGGAGGCATCTCTGAGTTTGGGTTTTGATTACTCTGGTGTGCTTATCATCAAAATGCTTTTTTTTTTTTTTTTAAGAGAAAAATTTTATGAGTTTATTTGAGCCAAACTGATAACATATGCTATGGAACGAGATCTCAAATGTCCCTCAAAATACATTTTATAATTTTTTATATTTTATTTATTTTTTACAGAGAGGAAGGTAGAGGGATACAGAGTTAGAAGCATCAATGAGAGAGAGACATTGATCAGCTTCCTCCTGCACACCCCCACATGTGCCTGCAACCAGGGTACCTGCCCTTGACCGGAACCGAACCTGGGACCTTTCAGTCCACAGGCTGACGCTCTATCCACTGAGCCAAACCAGTTTCGGCGATTTTATAA